GAAACATCATGCTTTGGGGCTGTTTTTCTGCAAAGGGACCAGGACGACTGATCCGTGTAAAGGAAAGAATGAATGGGGCCATGTATCGTGAGATTTTGAGTGAAAACCTCCTTCCATCAGCAAGGGCATTGAAGATGAAATGTGGCTGGGTCTTTCAGCATGACAATGATCCCAAACACACCGCCCGGGCAACGAAGGAGTGGCTTCGTAAGAAGCATTTCAAGGTCCTGGAGTGGCCTAGCCAGTCTCCAGATCTCAACCCCATAGAAAATCTTTGGAGGGAGTTGAAAGTCTGTGTTGCCCAGCGACAGCCCCAAAACATCACTGCTCTAGAGGAGATCTGCATGGAGGAATGGGCCAAAATACCAGCAACAGTGTGTGAAAACCTTGTGAAGACTTACAGAAAACGTTTGACCTGTGTCATTGCCAACAAAGGGTAATAAAAAATCCTACAATGTGATTTTCTGGATTTTTTTCCCTCATTTTGTCTGTCATAGTTGACGTGTACCTATGATGAAAATTACAGGCCTCTCTCATCTTTTTAAGTGGGAGAACTTGCACAATTGGTGGCTGACTAAATACTTTTTTCCCCCACTGTATAAAGCACATGTTTATATCATATTCGACAGTGGGTTATGTCATATTTGACATTGGTGATCATGTCACACATTTATGCCAAATTTATGAACCCTTTATAAAGCATGACATACAGTTATAGATGCTTTGTAACACATTGATGCAGTGCTTATGAAGGCATTATGAAGGCTTTATGAAGCCTTTATAAGCTGAATGTCGTTTAAAGCGGGACAGGTAAAACATATTACTTGCTAAGGGAGAGGCATTGTGCTGTAAGGTGTTGTTTTGAAGCTGATTTTGCTGTTTACTTGGGTAATTTGAGATGGAAGGGCGTTCCATCTAACCATGGCTCTATACAATACTGTGTGTTGCCTTAAATTAGTTTTGGACTTGGGGACTGTGAAGAGACCACTGGTAACATGCCTGGTGGGGTATGTATGTCTGTCAGCCCTGTATGTTATTTGATTATTCAGACAATTTTAAATTTTCATCACAGTAATATTTCTCATAATAACAAGACGTGATACAATCAATCTTTCTTCTACTTTAAGCCAAGTGAGACTGGCATGCGTCTTGTTGATATTAGCCCTCTGTTAACAGTGAAGGGCAAGACGTGCCGCTCTGTTCCGGGCCAGCTGCAGCTTTCCTAGGTCCTTTTTTGCAGCTCCTGACCATATAACCGGGCAGTAGTCAAGATGTGACAAAACCAGAGCCTGCAGGACTTGTTTGGTTGAACGTGGTGTTAAAAATGCAGAGCATCTCTTCAACACAGACAGACCTCTCCCAAACTTTACATCAATTGAATCAATATGTCTTGACCATGACAATTTGCAATCTAATGTAACACCAATAAGTTTAGTTTCCTCAACTTGTGAAATCATGTGTTTTTGGAACACTTCACGTGATATTTAACATGATGTTTCACGTGTTTTTGGAATACACACACAAACAGCACTTTTAACATTGTGTTTTCAATTTACAGATTCAACACACTTGATAACATTGTGTATGTTTATTTATACAGTAATTATAATTCATCATGTCCTCACCTGGGATTTGAACTCACAACCTCTTTGTTCACACCATTCCGATCTTCCTGCCACGCCACCATGTCTGTCAGTGACTGAGTTTCATATGTGAAATATATGTTTTCACATGTTGAGCTGAAATGTTCAGTTGTTCACATGTGAAACCATCAGTGGAGGCTGCTGAGGGGAGGACGGCTCATAATAAAGGCTGGAATGGAGTCAATGGAGCGGTATCAACCACATGGGAACCATATATTTGATGTGGTTGATACCATTCCATTGACTCCATTCCAGCCATTATTATGAGCCGTCCTCCCCTCAGCAGCCTCCATTGGAAACCATATGTTCACATGTATTATGTTTAGAGTTCACATGTTAACACCACCTTTTTACATGTGAGAATAACGTTTCACCTCACGTGTGAATTGCAGATTCACATGTGAAATTTGCACTTTCACATGTGAAAAACATTGTTGAAATTTTGCATCCCCATGTTGTCACATTTATTTCAGGGGATCATGTTTTCACGTGCTCAGATTTGTAGTTTCATGGTATCACGTTGAAATTTTGCATCCCTGTTTTCACATTAGATCACGTTTTCACATGTAGTTTTATGTTGTCACGTTATCACTTTAACTTCACATGTGATCACGTGATCTCGCTAGGCAGGTAGCTGCTGGTTCGAATCCCCGAGACGACTAGGTGAAAAATCTGTGGATGTGCCCTTGAGCAAGGCACTTAACCCGAATTGCTCCTGTAAGTTGCTCTGGATAATGGAAACGTGAAATTCATGTGGTTTTTCTGTAAGGGCTTACTCTGTTTGGTGTCCCCAAGCTCAGCCCAGACTAGTGACTTATTCCCTAGTGTGTCACACTGTCACTGCAGGCCATCTGTATCAGGTTGACATGACACTGCAAAAACTCAACAGAAGCTCACAAACTTCCAAACATACAGACATACTTAGATTAGGAAAAAAAATGCAGTATACATAAAGAAACATACATCACATAAATCACTGGTTGAGCTCTCTTGCTGAAATACAAACAGAACATCCAACAGTCAACACTGAGATCAGCCAATAAAACCCCAATGTTCCTGTTAAAAACCCACTCTTACTGAGAGCTCTGCAAAAGGCTGCCAGAGTAGTGTTTTCATACGTGTGTTCTCCACTTAAGCACAGACAGAGGAACACTCATAGTACCATCTAAAGAGAATGGCCACTCTCTATTGAGTGCAATCTTCTCTCAAGGACTGCACAAGCACAACAACACCTGCTATATCTAACCTGGCTCGAAGCTCCTCAGATGGAGTTTGTTTCAGTCCAGCATAGGTGACTGAGTGTTGCAATGTGTGTGTGTGTCTGTGTGTGTCTGTGTGTGTCCGTTGAAGAGTAGACACCCGGTGAAATAGAAAAACTCAGCACAGATTGATCTCACACCAAAACTGTGTCCACAGTGACAGCAGGGGAAAGTAGTTTTGGTCCTGAATGGTTCTGTGGCTACACCAAAAATGGCACCCGTTTCCCTATATATTGCACTACTTTTTACCAGAGCCATATGGACCCTAGTCAAAAGTAGTGCTCTTTAAAGGAAATAGGGTGTCATTTGGGACGCAGTCTGTTTACCACAGCTTCACACAATGCACTTTATTCTGCTCACATGTCAAAGTGAAGACATAACCAGCTTGAAAACAGACCCGAGTCTGACTACATCACCTCACTGGAATGAAATAGGCTATGCCCCAAATGGCACCCTATTCCCTACATGGTGCACTATTTTGGACCAGGCCCAAAGTAGTGCACTTTGTCAGGAATAGGGTGTCATTTGGGACACATACTTAGTAATTTGGGCAAGAAAGGGGGATAATTCCCATTGCATGTAATGCTAAGTATTTGTGTTCCCAATAACAATAAAATAATGAGGTTATACTTGGACAAAAAATGCTTGGTATTTTCTTTCAGTATCTCATTGTTCCTTTCAAACAGGGTGCTAATAGTTTAGGTAATGTCACACCTGCAAGGCATGCACTCTGACTCAGGCACGCACACTAAGTTATATCCCTTTGAATAATCCGTTTTAAATGAGAAACCGGATGGCTTTCAGAGAGTGGTACTGGTGCATTTATTAGAGCTTTAAAATGTGATAATGTAAACATGATGCAACAATGCAGTATAAACCATCTTAAAATCCCCCGAACATTGCTCTCTCGCTCTCTTACACACACAGCCACCCAATTGAAACATCCATAAGCCTACACAAACCCTGTATGGCATGATAAGTTACATTATTCAAAAACGACTCGTTCTTAAAAGATTTTCATTTTGAGCTTACACACACAACCATGACATTCACCCAACAGAACACAAAGAGCCACATAATCCACATAATGACCTGGGCTTTATTGTCTTATATTATCGTAGAGTTCGGTCACTTAAAAAAAAAAAATGTATTATTCTTTTCAGCTTCCAGGTGGGACAAGAAAACCTCAAGGATAAATCCTGCCATTGGACTGGGCATTCAGATTCTGACAACATAGAGAATAAGTACTACTAGTAGTAGCACTGTCTTTGTGCCTTACTCTTCACAGAAGAGAGCACATGTTTTTCCCCAAGGGAAGGCACCCGATACTTGTGGTTGTTGGCCTTGCAGCCGTCTGGAGTTTGAAACGGTGAGATAAGAGGAGAAAAGCAGCCTTTCTCCATAGCTACCCCCTATTAGCATTTTTTTTCTTCTGGTCAGAAATTGGAATGATACACATACAGCAATTCTAACTGCCATTCACCTCCCTTATTACCTATGCATCAACAAGTAACAAAATAATGAAGTCTTTCAATACGAAGAAGCTTACAATCATCTTTTAACCACAAGAACAGGAGAAAAATACAAAAATAACAAATCTGTTTTACAAAAATGTGTGTGGGGTTAAAATAATTAAGGGGTGGTCCCATTGCATGAAAACAAGGGACCAAAATTATACAAAAGCAGCATTAATATTGATAAAAAAGAAAGAAAAACTAACAAAAATCAATAGTGCTTTGAATCAGAAGCATCAGATAGATGCTTCTAGGAAGAGACTTCCCTAGTTTTGTTACTTGTATCGGGATAACAATGTAAATGGAAGATCCCAGGAAGAGCTTTAACCCCGCGAAGTGAAGTGAACCAAAGCCGGCCACCACCTCCTCCACCTCTGGCTCCCCTCCCCAAAGAGTCTATCTGTATATTACCATTGAATTCCACATGATCCAAAGAGAAGTGCAGGGACCCAAATGGGGGAAAACCTGCATTGTGTTCACAATATACAAAATACCCAGGAGTCCGTAGCTACCTAACATTTACTACAGCACAGGAACCAATGAAGGTACAGTGCACAAATAAAAAAGGAAACTGTAAACACAGCACAATAAATAGATAAAACAGCAGGCTCTGCACCATGCACATGTGATGAAATTTCTCTTTGTCTATACAACTCTCACATCTCACGCTCACAAGTTTATCGCTTTTTCTTTTTATTCCCAAGTGCAAAACATCACAAATAAACAAGTTTCTGTATTCAAGTAACGTATATACAAGGGGGTATTACAAATATTTAGTTACTGTACATATACCAATTTGCCATATTCATAATTTACACAATGTCAATGTTTACTCTTATTAACAGTAACGAATACAAAAACAAAACAAACATTTAAAAAGCACGAGATGAGAATTGCAACCCATGTAGTCCCCAGAGTTGCCATGGAAACATGTCTCCGTACTCAGTATGTAGTCCGTTGTGGTGTGTGGAGTCCCGCCGACCACCCGCCTGCAGTCCCTTTTGCATTCCCAATGCTACGATGCACAGCACCTAAAGAGTGGATTCAGAGAGTAGCAGCAGACTCTCAGCAGAGGGCTGGTTGGCCAGCAGAGGGTTGGGTAGCGCTGGGCCTGGCTGGTCTGTCATGGTAGCTAGCAGCACCACCACAACTCTGCTACGTCACCTCCATGGCCACTGTGTTGTCCGCTATACTGTTCAGAGCTGGCTTGTCTTGATCGTGATTGTCCCTGGAAAAATACAAGACAAACACCATGTCAAAAACTGCTTCCACTAGACCCCTATTAACTTAATGTTATCAACATACAGAGTTAAAGTCAAGGCATGGCTTAACCAATTCATTTAAAAAAAAGAACAGATTCATCACAACCCCTAACCCTATCATTTGTGAATAGCCTAGGTCTGTGTCAAGAGTATGTTTTCATAATAGCCTTCAGTTATAGTCAGGGCATGCCTTAAACAGTATGTTATTCAATGTGAGTTTGTTAGTCTGAGTATGTTGAATCATCTCACCTGGGTCCTATGTCCATGGTAGAAGCCCCGGTGACCTTGTTGGGCATCTGACAGTTGGTGTTGGCAGCCATCTTTAAGGCAGAGGAGGGCAAGGCTCCCAGGGCCCTGGGTATGTGGCGCGTAGTGGTGCCACCCAGACTGGGGAGGGCAGGGGAGGAGGGTACACTCATACGGATGTTGTTCCCAATCAGGACCTGAGTGGTGGTGGGGGAGGGGGTGGAGTTGGCAGCGTTGCTACACAGGTGGAGGGGATTCCCGTGGGCGTTGGGTGGGGAGGTGAGGGAGGAGGCGGTGACGGGAGATGTAGTGGTGGAGGAGTGGTTGGAGGAGGGCTTGAGGAAAGTGGGGGCTGATGGAGGAGGAGTGGGAGTCTGGTTGGTGTTGGGGTGGTGGGTGTGGGTGGTGCTGGCGAGGTGTAAGCCCTTGTACACTCCTGAGGGAGGGAGACATGTACACATTAGACTATACAATACATGTAATTCATCAGTAATATGCTGTGAGGAGATAGATTAAGAAAATACATTGATTAGACTAAAGCATTTCCTCAGCTCTCCAGTCCTGTGTCTCTATTCAATTATATTTATTTGCAAATCTGGTCTGCGTCCTACAATGGTACTCTCTCTCTATATAGTGCACTACTTTCGACCAGGGCCCATAGGGCTCAGATCCCATTGGCGCTGCTGCTCACCTGAGCCTGGAAAGACCCCGTTGACTCCACTTCCCAGAACCCCCTCCTCCTTGCCCTTGAAGGCCATCAGCTGGTCCGTGGTCACCAGGGCAGAGGCAGCAAACTGGGCGCTGGCAGAGTCTAACGTCTTAGATATTATACACTGGAGGGAGGACAGACGGAGTGATCAGATTGTAAAACCACTGAGCATATTAAACATGGAAGAGTCAGTGAAACCAGTCATTCCTCTAGATAATTTCTCAGGCAGGATGCAAAGCTCCCTCAAAGCAACACCAAGGCTCTCTGGCTTCTAGGGCTGTGCAAGGGATACGAAGTAAATAAGGTGTTTTATGACGTGTCCACTGGATCAGAGCATTACATGTTTCCCTTTCATGCTGAGTGGTTATCAAAAGGGAGAGACCTGGAAATATTTTTCAAATACATTGAGGAACTATTGTCACGTTTTACATTTACATTTTAGTCATTTAGCAGGCACTATTTTCCAGAGCGACTTACAGGAGCAATTAGGGTTAAGTGCCTTGCTCAAGGGCACAGAGATTTTTCACCTAGTCGGCTCGTGGAATTGAACCCTGGCCCAGCGCGCTTAACCGCTAGGCTACCTGCCGCACAAATTGACAAAACTCGTACATGGAATGAAATAAACCAAAACGTGTTTCTCACAAGTATAGCATAGGTTGGGAACTCTGTAAACAACGTGTCCACTCCGACAACAAGAACGGTAAAGGACTGTAATAATATATTGAATGCATTGACTGAAATTACTGTAAACATTGTAGTTTTGAAATTATGGGAATTAACAGTAAATTTTGGCTACTGCTGGTCATATACAGTATGTAATGAGGAATTGATACACTCAAAGGGCAAACAATTCACACAAAGAAGTTATGAAACAATGAATGCGCACAAATTGGCAGGAGAGCGTATTCTGGAGAGAGATGTGCCTTGTGCATCTTAGCCACACTCCCCTTCTTGGACTGTGGCACCCCCACAGCTTCCTCAATGGATTAGTCCACTAGACAGGCATCTCGTGTGCCATGAAATTTTTTTTCTATTTGCGACTGCTCGACTAAGAAAATCTTGGTCGACCAACAGCCTATCGACCAGTCGACTAAATGGGGTCAGCCCTACTGGCTTCTATAGGTTTCACCATTTGTGTCAAAATCTTTTAGGGGGGCCTGCCCAGCCTATATAATGGTAGAGGAAACACAATGAAACAAATATACACAAAGCTGTTTTGGAAAATAGTGACTTGGGTATAGTAGAGGTGAGTGGCTGGTTTGTGTATAGCAGAGGAGTGCTACTGACCTGTGTGTTGGGTGGTGGTGCTGTGGATGTTGTAGTAGATGATGGGTCTGTGTTGACCTGCTGCTGTGCCTGTTGCTGCTGTTGGATCTGCTCAAGCTGCTGTTTCTGCATCAGGGACAGCTGCTCCTGGTGCTGTTGGTACTGCTCTGCGGTGAACGCTACAGAGACAGGATAACAATGTTATACACACACACACACACACACACACACACACACACACACACACTGGTCACAGGAGAATGAATGAAGAGTCAGGGTTCATAAAACTGACAGATGTCATGAAATTCCTTTTCCATGACATAAGCAAATTTCCATGACCAACAATTGGCGGTGTCTATGTACTTCTAAAAAAGCAAGCACAATGTGGTATCGACACTGGGAGTCTGCTCTCTGATCCCATGTACCATCTCCTGTCGTTAACTCCCCACAAAGTAGAATACATCAAAGTAGAATACCTGTTAGGCAACTGTATAAAATGCAATTGTGTTTGTTGTCCATAGCTTATGCCTGCCCATACCATAACCCCACAGTCACCATGGGGCACTCTGTTCACATCGTTGACATCAGCAAACTGCTTGCCCACATGACGCCATACAAGGTCTGCAGTTGTGAGGCCAGTTGGACGTACTGCCAAATACTCTAAAATGACGTTGAGGCGGCTTATGGTAGAGAAATTAACATTACATTATCTGGCAACAGCTCTGGTGGACATTCTTGCAGTCAGCATGCCATTTGCACGCTCCCTCAAAGCACTTTTTTAACCAGGTAAGCCAGTTGAGAACAAGTTCTCATTTACAACTGCGACCTGGCCAAGATAAAGCAAAGCAGTGCGGAAAAAACAACACAGTTACATATGGAATAAACAAAACGTACAGTCAATAACACAATAGAAAATCTATATACAGTGTGTGCAAATGTAGTAAGTTATGGAGGTAAGGCAATAAATAGGCCATAGTGCAAAATAATTACAATTTAGTATTAACACTGGAGTGATAGATGTGCAGAAGATGATGTGCAAATAGAAATACTGGGGTGCAAATGAGCAAAATAAATAATGTAAATAACAATATGGGGATGAGGTAGTTGGGTGGTGCAGTGATCGGTAAGCTGCTCTGACAAGCTGCTCTGACAACTGATGCTTAAAGTTAGTGAGGGAGATAAGTGTCTCCAGCTTCAGAGATTTTTGCAGTTCATTCCAGTCATTTGCAGCAGAGAACTGGAAGGAATGGCGACCAAAGGAGGTGTTGGCTTTGGGGATGACCAGTGAGATATACCTGCTGGAGCGCATACTACGGGTGGGTGTTGCTATGGTGACTTGCTTTGGTGACAAAACGGATGGCACTGTGATAGACTACATCCAATTTGCTGAGTAGAGTGTTGGAAGCTATTTTGTAAATGACATCGCCGAAGTCAAGGATCGGTAGGATAGTCAGTTTTACAAGGGCATGTTTAGCAGCATGAGTGAAGGAGGCTTTGTTGCGAAATAGGAAGCCGATTCTAGATTTAACTTTGGATTGGAGATGCTTAATGTGAGTCTGGAAGGAGAGTTTAGTCTAACCAGACACCTAGGTATTTGTAGTTGTCCACATATTCTAAGTCAGAGCTGCCGAGAGTAGTGATTCTAGTCGGGCAGGTGGGTGCAAGCAGCGTTCGATTGAAGAGTATGCATTTAGTTTTACTAGCTTTTAAGAGCAGTTAGAGGCCACGGAAGGAGTGTTGTACAGTGGGGAGAACAAGTATTTGATACACTGCCGATTTTGCAGGTTTTCCTACTTACAAAGCATGTAGAGGTCTGTAATTTTTATCACAGGTACACTTCAACTGAGAGAGACGGAATTTTAAAACAAAAATCCAGAAAATCACATTGTATGATTTTTAAGTAATTAATTTGCATTTTATTGCATGACATAAGTATTTGATCACCTACCAACCAGTAAGAATTCCGGCTCTCACAGACCTGTTAGTTTTTCTTTAAGAAGCCCTCCTGTTCTCCACTCATTACCTGTATTAACTGCACCTGTTTGAACTCGTTACCTGTATAAAAGACAACTGTCCACACACTCAATCAAACAGACTCCAACCTCTCCACAATGGCCAAGACCAGAGAGCTGTGTAAAGACATCAGGGATAAAATTGTAGACCTGCACAAGGCTGGGATGGGCTACAGGACAATAGGCAAGCAGCTTGGTGAGAAGGCAACAACTGTTGGCGCAATTATTAGAAAATGGAAGAAGTTCAAGATGACGGTCAATCACCCTCGGTCTGGGGCTCCATGCAAGATCTCACCTCGTGGGGCATCAATGATCATGAGGAAGGTGAGGGATCAGCCCAGAACTACACGGCAGGACCTGGTCAATGACCTGAAGAGAGCTGGGACCACAGTCTCAAAGAAAACCATTAGTAACACACTACGCCGTCATGGATTAAAATCCTGCAGCGCACGCAAGGTCCCCCTGCTCAAGCCAGCGCATGTCCAGGCCCGTCTGAAGTTTGCCAATGACCATCTGGATGATCCAGAGGAGGAATGGGAGAAGGTCATGTGGTCTGATGAGACAAAAATAGAGCTTTTTGGTCTAAACTCCACTCGCCGTGTTTGGAGGAAGAAGAAGGATGAGTACAACCCCAAGAACACCATCCCAAACGTGAAGCATGGAGGTGGAAACATCATTCTTTGGGGATGCTTTTCTGCAAAGGGGACAGGACGACTGCACCGTATTGAGGGGAGGATGGATGGGGCCATGTATCGCGAGATCTTGGCCAACAACCTCCTTCCCTCAGTAAGAGCATTGAAGATGGGTCGTGGCTGGGTCTTCCAGCATGACAACGACCCGAAACACACAGCCAGGGCAACTAAGGAGTGGCTCCGTAAGAAGCATCTCAAGGTCCTGGAGTGGCCTAGCCAGTCTCCAGACCTGAACCCAATAGAAAATCTTTGGAGGGAGCTGAATGTCCGTATTGCCCAGCGACAGCCCCAAAACCTGAAGGATCTGGAGAAGGTCTGTATGGAGGAGTGGGCCAAAATCCCTGCTGCAGTGTGTGCAAACCTGGTCAAGACCTACAGGAAACGTATGATCTCTAATTGCAAACAAAGGTTTCTGTACCAAATATTAAGTTCTGCTTTTCTGATGTATCAAATACTTATGTCATGCAATAATATGCAAATTAATTACTTAAAAATCATACAATGTGATTTTCTGGATTTTTGTTTTAGATTCTGTCTCTCACAGTTGAAGTGTACCTATGATAAAAATTACAGACTTCTACATGCTTTGTAAGTAGGAAAACCTGAAAAATCGGCAGTGTATAAAATACTTGTTCACCCCACTGTATATAATAAATTATCAACCCTGTAAGCAATTCAAGACTCTATTATTATGGTGGGAGATTAAAATACCGTTTTAAATAGCTCAATGGACCGTAAAGGAAATCACACTACAAACAATCACCCTCTTAAGGAAATCATGAATGTCATGGATACATTAGAACTAGTAGAGATATGGAGGCTTAAATATCCTGATCTAGTGAGATCTACATGGCGGAGACTCAATCAAGCTAGTCGTCTTAACTTCTTATGTCATTCTCATTGGCACCAAAAGTTGAAAAAGTGTTGATAGGGGACAGAATGCAGTCGGACCATCATATAATTGGCATATACATTACTCTTACTGAATTTCCACGTGGGCGAGGATATTGGAAATGTTATCAAAGCCTATTGGATGATAACTTGTTTTTAACGAGGACAGAGGAATTCATGTCGGGAAAAATCAGTTATAACATAGGTACAGCAAATCCCCTTATTGTATGGGACACCTTTAAAATGTGCCTTTAGAGGCCATG